ATATAAAGCCAGAGACCATAATGCCATCATGACCATAACGACCTAATGACCGGTTGCTATGACACCCACTGTGGCCAGTGAACTGGCCTGATCCGGGCGGACTACCCCAACACCCTGAAGAGGGCAGGGCCAGCCGGCCCACCGCCTTGGCTGGCAGAAATTTGGGGTCCGGGGACCTTGGAGTTGCCCAGTCTCAGTCTCGAGCAGCTGCGCAGGCCGAGCTCTCCTTTGGCAGAGGTGGACCTAGGATCAGGGTGCTGGCGTTGGGGGTGGGGTGGGGAGGCTTTCCTGGTGGCCACAGCAGTCCCCGCGGGCCATGCACAGCACCGGGCGTCTGGCCCCGGTCGGAACAGCGCAGGAATAGGGGCCGTGAGGCGCAGGGGGCAGCAGCACACAGGAGCCAGGAGGTGCGAGGACCGATATGGGTTCTTACCCCGCCTGCTGGGCCCAACAGCACCAGCAGGTGGGTCATGATGTGCAGCGAGGCACTGGGCCACAGACGTGAGGGGCAGCAAGCCAGGAGGGCAAGGCCCGGTGCCAGACAGAGCCCTAGTGTTGTGGGCCGGGCGGAGCTGGAAATCCTGGTGGGGTGGGTGGGGCTGCGGCCCCTGCCTTTTCGGCCTTGGCCTTGGAATTCAGAGGTCAGCCCCACTTCAAGAGAGAGGACTGTAGCAGAAAGTAGCAAGGTTACAGGAGGGATAGGACATGCTGTGGCCATCACTGGGAAACACAGCTGCCATGGTATTCAGTAACTATGAACAGATAATCTTTGGTCTCGGTTCTACAGAAGAGGAAGCTGAGACTTAAAGAAGGGAGCCTTCCGCAACACCGCACCCACTTCTCAGACCTGACCCTGTGCAGCATTGTTTTTGTTGAAAGTAGAGGATCCAAAATGTTTTAGATCTTTGGTATTTTAGGCAGGAAAGAATTTAGCGCAGGGAATTGGTGCTTGGGAAATCATGGGAAAGCTGGAGGAGCGGGTATTAGGCTGCGCCCCCAGGAAAGACTCCTGGCCCAGCGGGAGGAGCTACCCCTCAGCCACAACTGAATTCTAGGACACTCTGGCACAGCTGTGACCCAGGGATCAGGAAACTGCTGCCCCGGCAAGTGCCCACCAGCTCCCACAAACCAGGTCTGGCACTGTCTGCCACAC